CGAGTTTTCCCTCCATGTGATCTCGTCACACGGTCTTCGCTTATTCCAAGGGTGTCTATGTTGCCCTTGTTCGCCGTTCTCACTTTGTGGGACCGGAAGTCTAAGCTTACCTGGTTTTTGTTTAACCAGGGGGCGCCGAAGATGGCGTCATACCTGTCGATGTTAATTACATCGAAGTAGTGTTTTTCTACGTGGCCGTTGATCTCAACGTCCACGTTAGTTCCGAACAGGATCTGTGATCTTGTTCCTTTCGTCCCCATTTGGAGGACGACTGGGTTCTCCAGTTGAAGGATTGGGATGTGGACCGCGCGGACAAAGTCCGGCGATAAAGCGTCCGTTTCGGCTCCACTATCGAATAGCGCATAGGCTTTTATGCCTGCTATTTTTATGTGAGCCGTTAGCGTTCTCTTTGTTGAGAGCGGTCTGTTTACGGGGTATTTTCCCGCGTCTTTTGAGATGCGGAATTTCGCATCAAATAAAGGGGACTGGGTTTCGATGGACTTTTGGTCCTTCTTCCCTTTGTCCTTGTTTTCCTTGGGTACTTTGGTGTATTTCCCCAAGGCGTCTTTTCTTGGTGCTTCCACCAAGGCTTCGGCGACTTTTTCGTCTGCCGTGTTTTCTAACTGGTGTGCTACAGCCAGTTTGATTTTATAATTTATGTCATCGTGGTCGACGACTGACATTGGGCCCATTCTTATGGTCCCAACGTTGACTTCCTCACCCTCTGAGTCAGGTGAGTATTGAGGTCCTTCGTATGGGTCCTCCACTTCGAAGCTTGATGCTTCGGAGTTACCAGAGTTGTTCTCTGGTTTCTCATCTGATGAGCTTTTTGACTCTTCATCTGTTGAGTTCGCGATTTCCATGGCAGCTATACGCCTTGGTTTTTCATCGCTCGTTATATTGTGTCTTGGGCAATCTTTCGTTTGCCCTATTTTGCCGCATTTGCCGCAAATTGGAACTGACTTTTGGTCAGTTTTCCTCGAGTTTTTCGAGGATGTATCCTCTTTCCATCTGGGTTTCAGCTCTTCCGCTTTCTTTCCTGATGGGAGGGCTTTGCCGCGGCTCGTTGTTGCCGTGGTGGTTGTTCGGGTATAGTACCCTGATTTGTAGGCTGAAGACATCTTCAGCCCGTCAATTATCTCGTCTACACGAGATATTGCTTTTAACATCTCCTCATTTGAGGAGAAGTCTGCTCTGATTCTATCATGAGCAATCATTTCCCTCTTCCATTCGAGGGGAATGTAGTTTAAGAACCTGGCGTTAAAGGACGCCTGGTCTGGCGGCGTCACCATTTGGGACGCTGCTTTTGACAGTTCTAAGTAGAACTGTTTTAGGCCTTTTTCCGCTTCGTATTTGACGTTGCGGTATTTCTTTGTCGCGTTCAACGCGGCGGAGGCTTTGATGAAGGTTCTCATCAATATGTTGAGAACCTCGAGGAACATGCCCTCGTCTCCTCTGAGGAGAGTTTCGTCTCGGAGTCTAATTCCGAGGTCAAATGCGGGTCCCCCTAATCCACGAATCAAGCAGTCCAGGTGGACTTCGTCGAATTGGGGACCTTTGCATCCTCGCAAGGCGAGGAATCCCAGTAGCTCTGTGAACCACTGCCAGAACGATTCCATGTCGTTCTCCCCTGACCATTTCTTGTCAGGGAATGCCGGCCCATTCTTTAGGGCTTCTGGCTTCACTCCTTCTGGGTAGGGAGTGAGTATTCTCACTTCGGCCATTCTTATGGCCTTTTCGTACCATTTCTCCAGGTACTCTTCTTGCTCCCCTGCCTTCGCGGGGTCGCTGTCCAATGGAGATCTCTCCTTTGGGGGGGTTTTTGCTGGGGGGAATCTTTCTCGCAGCATTTCTTTGGTTTCAGGCGAATTCGCCTGAAGTTGTATTTGTATTCTCTCATTGTTTTGAGAGGGTATGAATGCGTTACCTCTCTGTTCGAGAGGTCCGTCATAATTGGATGTTTGGCCGAACCTTTGGTACGTGCCAATTCTCCTTCTGATCTCTGAACGATGTCTTCTCTCGGCATCGTCTTCTCCTATCCTTGGGAGAAGGATCTCCTTAGCGTCTCTGTCGAGTCGCTGGTGATATTCCAGTGTGCTTTCACTGGTGGTTCTTTTCGTGAATTTTTCACGAGTTCTATTTATGTCCTGGACCGTGGTCCAGGGGTGTTTATTTGTTTCCTCACTTTTTTGTGAGGAGTTTATTTCCTTCAGCAAATCTGTTTGTTCGCTGATTTTTTCTGTCAACGCATCGATTGCGTTGGCCATTCTTTCTAGAGTTATCTCTAGACGAGCCGTGCTATTATGGTTCGTTTCCTCGATCTTTTTCTGGATCGAGTTTATCGCGTTTATTATGCGCGATTCCTGGTTTTCCAGGAGGAAGTTTGGTTGGGCGAGCAGTGACTCTCCCCAGTTGACATTTCCGCTTCTGGGAGTTCCAGAATGGGTTCTTGGAGTGAACACTCCACGCTCGCTTTGTTTTGGCGAGGCCGTTGCGGAGGGTGCTTCCCTTTCATAGAGGGGTCTGTTCGCTGGTTTCTCCTTATTTTTACGTAAGGCTTCCTCAGCGAACTCCCTCATTTCAGTTCGCCTCCTCCTCATTATCTCGGAGACCTCCTCCGAAGTTGGCGACCTTGCCTTGTCTGGCATGGTGCGTGGGGGTGTAAACAGCAGAGGCTCTTTTGGAGCTTCCACGCTCTGAGAGATCCTGCTCTCAGGGCGTATTTTCGCGCCTTCTCGGGCTTTCAGCCTGAGAAGAAGTTGATCTTCACTTTCCGTCCTCCATTCGGACGGAACCTGGAACAAGTCCAGTAGTTTTTCGGATAGCCGACGCGGGGTTTCTTCCCTTTGTTTCCCTTTGTCTGCCTTTAGGGCTTGACTTGGGGACGTGATTGGGAACTCTAGGGGATAGTGGGGCCCTGGGGTTTCCTGCGGCTCTATCCGATCAGCTTTTTGGGCTGATCGTTCGGCGCTTACGCGTTTTTCGCGCAAGTCGATTACCTCGTGGGGAGGTAAGGGATCTTCCCCAGCTTGGGTTAGATCGGTTTGTTGTGGAGTTCTGGGGGTATTTTGCCCCGCACTTACTCCACGTAAGTTTCTAAAGTCTTCAGGGACCAGCCCTGAAGTGGTTGCTTTTCCCGGATCGCGTTGATCCTCGTCGTCATCTGACGACGGCTTTTGGTTTGAATCTCCCATGATGGGAGATTGCGGTTTCTTAATAAACCGCTCGCTTCTTTTTAACGTCGCTGCAGATGCGACCTTGCCCTTGCGGGCGTGTTTAGGCACCATAAGCGCTTCCGAATCAGATGTTGAGATTTTATAGTTGTGGGTTGTGTTGTAAAACACACCTCATGCACTTAAAAAAGTGTGAGGTCTTTGGGGTTGCTCAGCACACAAAGCCGTAAGTGATACAAGATGATGTATTTTACGGTGGTGTGTAAGCGGTTACCCGGAGGTTCCCGCTTGTCCACGTGACTATATCTATCTAGTTTACATGTGACTCGGGGTTCGGGGCTATTGCCCTGACAGACATGCCCATGCCAGCACATGGTCTTATATACACAGTAGAGGTGGTAACTAGCCAACTAACTAATAACTGGTAGTATCGGATCAAGGAAGATAGAAGATCATGCGGTGTCATAACCAACAGCTGCAGACCGGATCAAACCAGAGATGAAGAAGTGGAAAAGAAGCAGAAGTTGATGGGATCATGGGTCATGTGGCAATGCGCTACTTATGCTAGCGACCTGAAGATGTGCCCTGACACTCTGATCTTCCTATCTCACACCCAGTACTTCTTGGACCAAGTTTTTCTGAATGTCAAGTATGTGGGGGCTATCTCCGACTTACAAGGGGAATGCACTCAATTTACATACTGGAGAATGATGGAGTTAAGCAGGGCTATATGGTGCAGGGGAATTGCAGAGATTGCAATGCAGCACATTTCCCTGATCATTACCACACATGCTTCAATGGGAGGCTGAAAGATGTGTACAACAATGATTGCACCTACCTGCACATTGGGGGAAAGATCTGGGTAAACCGATGTGTGGCAGTGTCCCAGTCCCTTCTGTGCTACACAGCCCACATGTCCTCTGATGCCTTTGCTTCATTCTACAATCAACAACATGCATCAGCATGTGATGGCTTCAAGTTGACTCCAACACATGCTTGGACTTTGTTTGTTTACCATGAGTCCATTCAGATGTGCAAATCACCTGGGGTTCAGCTGGAGAAACCTCAAAACACTACCACTACTCAATTGACAGGTGCTATTGGGTCACATTTCTTTCCTGGGAATGTCAAAATAATCCCCAATGCACTGCAGCATTTCTGTGTGAATTGTTTCCATCCTTTCAGAGTAAAAACTGGCATCTCAAAGGTATCACACAATTTGAATGATGTAGTTCCTGCTGTAGTCACTGGAACACCACTGGTATGTTGCAAGCCTCAATGATTTGACTAACTTGCTGACCATACTGTCTGTGTAGCATCTGGGTGCTGATGTGATTGATGAGACAAGAGGGGTAGATATGGTTTTCATTAATGGTATCAACATGGGCCATTGGCTCTGCTCAATGCCCCTTTGCCCTAATGCACCCATTGATTTTCACTCCAAAAAACTCTGCCATAACCACCAAATGAGCCATGGCCATTGTGGCATTGTTGATTGTCTACAGGAGAGAACCAAAAATCCACCTACTGGAGCATGTTCAGATCCTGATCATCAAAGATGATGGAAGATCTTCTCTCAACTTACTGGGTGAGAGCATATGATGGTTACTGCCACATTATGATGCCAACAGTAGACTGGGGAACAAGCATAGCACAGCAGAGCCATGGGTACTCAATGCTCATCAACTTGCTCAGCAGGATTCAGGGGAACCAGAAGATCCTGAACAAGTTACCCCTCACCACCAGCCAGAAGGCCTTCAGGATAGGGAAGGACAACAAGGTTCTCAAACCTCAAAGCATATATGTCATACATGGAGATATCACCACCTTCACTGCCTTGAGATTGTGACTAGGCCATGTGGATGTGTGATTGCTTGGGCTAAGTTCCCAGTGTCAGAAAGTCCAACCAACATCATTCAGATGAGCACCAATCTATTTCCCACTGCTGACTCTCACCCAACTTATATTGTTGTTGACAAAGCTTGCAGAATCCTTGGTACACTGCTGTCAACTGGTGCTGCAGATACCTGGTTTGCCACTACTCAGTTCCTGGTTGATGCATTCCACTTCAAAAACCATAAAGAAGAGATCAGATGTCAAACATTCTGCAACCCTGCACCAACTGATGGCAGACATCCTAACCTCATCACCCCTATCAAAGGAAAAGATGGTAAAGTAGTTCTCCAGTGTGCCTTCAATACAGAAGCAGCTGAGCAACTCAATTCCTGGTTCCAACTCTATAGTTCACAGCTGAGTCACATGCACCCTAACAATCATGATTTTCTGGTTCATGTTATGCTGACATATTGGCATTTCAATTCCAATAATGCAACATCATAGTATACATATGACTGCCTGCCTGCTTGTAGTGAATCCATGAAATACTTGTAACAGTCAATTGAACAATGTAAATCCTCTAATCATCTGTGCATCATATTCAATCACCCATGCCATGAGCCATAGGGATAGTTACAGCAAAATGGCAGCATTGAGTATCAAATCCTTTTTAACAATGTAAAATAACAAGCATATGGAAGCTTTGCAGAAATGGCCTTGATGGGAGTTCATGAGCATCCATGGGTGTCCATGAGCACCCATGAGCACCCATGAATGCCTATGAATGCCCATGGGTGTCCATGGACACCAATGGGAGCCTGTGACTACCCATGAGTCCAGACCTCCCAAACATGGCAAGGAGGGAACAAGCATGTCTGGACCTTTCCCCAGAAGGGAGGCTGGAGGTAGAGGACGATGTAATGGGTCTATCCAACTAGACTCACACCTCAGGTCTGGGGGGGGGGGGGGTAGGTCTCTCTTTATCTCTAGGGTAGGTATGTGGTCCTTGGGAGTACGATGCTGATACTCTGTGTAACTCTAACTAACTGTCTGTACAGTCGTCATGGAAGAGTCCAATACAAATATAAAAGGAAAGTCACATGCATGAATGAATGAAAATAGTAAGGAAAATAAAGAAAAGGTCATATCTCCTCAACCACTCCACCAAATCCGACGATCTTGGACTCGTCAGAACCACCTCTACAGTCTCTACAGCTCCTACTATTACCACTACTCACCAATCCTAGTCCCCGATGCAGTAGGGGGTGAAGTGTGCAATCAATGTCAGTTTGGCCTGCATGGACTTGTCCCCACAACAACGAGCAGAGGGACTGTGGCCTCAGCGACTCAGAGGGGAGCACTGTGCCAACGTTCAGTAACACTAGTGTTGGGTCCTTAACTTCAGAATGGGGGGGGTGCAAACTCTGGGGGAATCTAGTCATCAATTTTGCACTGAAGTGCCATCAACTATGGTACATGACTTATATACATAATACAAGACAAATGTGAGAAGAAAGGGAAAACCCAAGATGGACTTACCCACTTGCCAGGTTGGTGAGCTTGTGAGAGAATCATCTTATCAAGCACTGTGGAGTGGGTAAATGAAGGGTGTGTTAGAACGTGCAGATTTGGACGACTCCAGAGTGGAATCGGAGACTTAGCGTGGAAGGACCTCGGCCTCAGCAACTCAGGTGGAGCGCTGTGCCATTGCTGGTTGTCTTAGGGGTCCCTAATTTCGGATCTAGCAGAGGGAAAGTCTCTTGGGGGGAATTCATGTCGATTTCGGACTGAGGTTACAAGTTACTATGTACATTGTATATAAGGAGGGGTCCGGAATCAAAAGGAGCGAGGGTAGGACTAAAGGAGACAAAGGGAGATGGAAAGAGGAACAACACCGAGGGTCAAGGGTTTGACTCAATGGTGTTTCTCAAAGGAGGAATGAAGGGCCATGGCCCAAGGAGGAAGGAAGGAGGTTGGGAGTGGGGAATGGCTAGCTGACTGAATAGAAAGGAAGCAGCAGCCCAAATAGGAATGAGGGAGAATAGCGGAACTGAATGGGACAATGCAATAGTTGCAAGGTCCAAGGTAAGTCCGGAAAGTCTGAACTCGGAAGTTAAACTCCGGAATATTGGCAAACATAATTAAATGGAATGAGCTAACCAATACAATGGGTATAAGCGGAGGTGGGGTCAAAGTCCGAGGTCGGAGCTAAGACCGGAGGTTCCGGAGTCGGGAGCATAGGTTTTGCATACTCGTCTGGAAGGTGTCGAGGTTGGGGTCAGACCCGGAATGTCCCGGAGTCGGACTGAAGGTGGTGTCAGAGCCGGAGGTGGGATAACCTCTTGGGAGTCGGCAAGGAGGAGGTGACAGAAGGGAAGTAGGACTCCAGAAGTCAGGTTCGGAGTTCCGGGAGCCCAGAGCGGAGGTCGGGATTGTATGGATATGACAGGGTGGGATTAGTGACAGTTATTGGATAATGGGAAAACCTTTGCAGGGTTGGTGGAGGTCCTAGGAGGATGTTGGTGCTGGAGGAGGAGAGGTGGTGGAGAAGAAGAAGAAAATTTTATTGAACCTAATACTCAGGCCCAGGCTTGTGCAGATAGCAGGTGTGAAGAGCCGCAACGAGATCAGGAGTGTGATCAAGTTCCGAAGCTAAGAGCAAAGAGTATTCCTTGTCAGTACCCTCATAACCTAACCAATGCATGGTATAGATGAGGTTACAACCCCATCTATGGCAGTTGATCTTGGAGTCGAGGATTTCTCCAATCTCGAACTCAGGTTGTCTGTCGATCACAATCGGTGGAGGTGGAGGTTGGTTGTGGTTTGGAATGACATTAGGAGTGGCTGGTTCGATTTGAGACACATGGAAGACTGGGTGAATGCTCTCATGGACTCAGGGAGGTGAAGCGTGATGGAGTGGCTACCCATGTGGGCAATGATCTCAAAGGGGCTGAGATTCTTCTCAGACAACTTCCTTGAAGGTCTGGTGGAATGGAAGTACTTGGCCTTGATTTAGACCAAAGTACTGACCTCAAAATCAGGGGCTGGGATGTGCCTAGCATCGGCTGGACCCTGATATCAGATCTGGGCATTGTAGGCAGGAATCTCTGCTACCATACAAACAAGCCCAGAAATCGCTATCCTGACACCCTGACAAACACCCTGTACCCGAGGCACTTTATACACGGTCTCAGATACCCTTTCTACCATTTTCCTATTTTTCCCAATTTTTCCGATGCATTTCCAGCCCTACAGTCAAGATTCCCACGCCTGTCAATGTAGTGGCCACCCAATTCCAGGCATATCTCAAGAACCACTGGATGGATTTGGATGAAATTAGTACCATTGGAAAGCTACGAGCGAGGAGAGTCCATTCGGACGGCGGGAGAAGGTTGTTGGATGCTCAATTAGGAGGGATACTATTTCCATCATTCAGTTTATTGTTTCTGATATTGTTTTCATTGCTTTTATTTGTATTTCCTTATAGCACACATTGTCATGTATGGTACAAAGGACTCCCCCGATGAGAAGGGACACCCCCACCAAGTAACAAGTTGTTTGATAAGTTTAGTGATGCCAGAGGGTGACATACGAGTTTATACAGTGTCTCTGACTCCTGACGACTGTCCAAGAAGGACCAGGAGTGAGTACTGATTTAGTGAGATTTTGTTGATTGTTTTCTAGCACCCGGACCATGGCACAGTGAAGACAGATCTCGCTCTGGATGGATGGAGAGGTTTGGATAGTAGCCCTTATTGGTGAAGAAAGGGGAGATGCCAGTGGTTGCGCTGGGAGCATTATTGTAGGCAAACTCTGCAAGAGGCAAGAGCTCAGCCCAATTATCCTGCTGATAATTGCAATAGATGCACAAGGACTGTTCTAGCTTCTGGTTCATATGCTCAGTTTGTCTGTCTCCTTCCAGGTGATAACCAGAGGTGAAGTGAAGGTGGATGTCAAGGGCTTTACCAAGAAGTGTGAAATGAACTCTGGACCTGGAAGGAACTCCGTGTTTGGAAAACACGTGGAGGAGGAACAACTTCACCAGCTCTGGTGAGGTGATGGTTGTTGGAGAACAGCACGCAAGTGCAGCCAGGTGAGTTTGTACAGCCACATTCCCACGGCTGAGCAAGGAATTCGTCTGGCTGGCCAACTAATATTTTCACTTTTGTATTCATTTCGGACTACTCCACTCCCAAACTACATGGGAATTTCCATTCATTCAATTCCTTTTTCCCTCAGTTCTCTTTTGCATATTTGCTTGAGACTGAGGTTAGTAACACCACATTCTTTAGTTTCATTCTAAATTTATATTCTGTATATTACCTTTAGTTGCCATGCTTTACTAGGTAATATAATAACAGTTCTCTTTCACATATTTGCTTGAGACTGAGTTGCCATGCTTTACTAGCAATTCAATCTGCACTCAATGGTATCGTATGTGGGGATGAAGATGCATTGCTTCGATAAGTGATCCACAACGACCAGCATGGAAGTGAAACCGGAGGAGGAGGGGAGTTGTTCTATGATATGGAGTTCCAAGGACGTTTGGGGATGGGGAGTTGTTTCAACAAGCTGAAAGGCTTGTGACAAGGGACCTTGGCACAGGCACATGATGTACAAGATGAGACATAATTCTTGACGAAGGTGCAGATTCTGGGCCAGGTGTAATCTCGATGAATCAGATCCAGCATCCGATTCTGGCCAAAGTGGCCTGAAAGCGGATGATCATGTTTATTATGCCAGATCCGAAGTCGGAGATCATTCAGGTCAGGAACATAGATGCAGTGGTCCAGCCTCAACAGGCCTTCAGCATCTAGTGACCAACAAGAGTCAGGAGGCATGGGAGAGGAGAGATGTGAAGATACAAAAGTATCCAAGGGGAGTGTGGAGATGATGTCCATGTGTAGTGTCTCTGTATCGACCATGGAACTAGCTTTGATAATGGAAGCAGCCAGATAGGTAGTGTCATATCCATCCATGGCCATCGACTTCCACTACCTCCAATCTCTCTGGACTACCTCCGCTCCTTCCTCACTAACCTTGGAGCTCCCATATTCCATAATCACCTCCGCTTCCCTCGATGGTCACCACCCCCTCTTTTCAATATATTACCTATGCCTCCCTAAGTACGGAGCCCCAAAGGTTTCCGGACAGCTCCAATGTCCACTAGCGCACTCCTGCCTCCGCTGGGCAATTCACTCGCTTGCCCTGCAAGCCCACCTTTGGGCCTATCCCTCCTTTCCGTTTCTGGGTTATCGCCTGCCATTCCACTAACCCCGTAACCCAACTTGTTGGTAATATTCAATCAGCTAATGTTTAACTCCATTAGCTCTGCTCCACTTGGCCCCACCATTTACAGGCCCGCCCTTGTTGTAACTATATATACTAAACTTGTACATAGGTTACACCTCAGTAATAAAATCGACTAGAGTTGACCCCCTTTAGTTCTCGTTGCCAGTAAGTAAATTAGGGCATGGATGTGTAACTTGGCACAGCGCTCCTGG